AGTCGTGATCTACGCTTCTATTTTCGGTTGCGTTCGCTCGATCGTCTGAGTATTTAACGGATGGATTTCTTTACCAACAATGATACCTGGCGACATGGATACCGAAACAATGGCTCATCTCTCCCTATCGGAGAGAGAGTTAATGTGCCGTCCATTGGCTCTTTCCCGGATCCTCCGGAGGCTCGATACACTCCAAGGAGAGCGATGTGAGGATCCTCCAAAGGAACGATTCGATCTAACGAATACTAAATCGCCCCTTCCCTCTTCTTCTTCACAGTGGAGCGAATTCATAAAAAAAGAATCTATCAGTGCAATGAGGAATAAAAAGAACGATTTAGTACTAACTTTAAGTTTATTAATTACAATTAAAAATTTATTTTAAATTTTAAAAAAATTTTTTTAAATGTTTCTCTTAATTAATCATTGTTTTTATTTATATTCTTTATATTAATATCTTTTTTAATATTATTATAATAAATTATTAATATTATTTATTTACGTGACGTATTATATGTCTTTTTTTCGCAATTAATGTGTTATTAAATGAAGTTAAACTGCTGTTTGTTTAAATACATCATCATATTGAACTGCACCGCTACACCATCTCACCTAAAGCAAGTAGTGAATTCTTGCACTAAACAGCACTACACTGCTAAAAAGAATAGCAGCATCTGCTGTCACTCTTATTCCGGATTTAAAGGTGTGGAGGCCCTGGGCCAACGAAGAGATGGAGACCTCTAATCATTTTTAAATCAAAATCAAATAGAAATTTTCACGTTGTTTAAATAATTTATTGTGAAATAACAAGGTCAAGCAATATACATAGATCTTGTAATTGTATACCATTCGATAGGAAATTTTACCCAAAAATTTGTGTTGTAGAGGCCCTCCTCTTGTGGAGGTACCCCTGGACTTAAATCCCTGTTACTCTCTCCTTAAATCTGGCTCTATCATTTCCGTACCATTTCCCAATGCGTACCATTTTTACGTTGCTTTTCACCACGTGTTTCTCGAAATTTATTATTAATTATTACTATTATTAATGTTAAATATTAAATACTATTATTACTGTTAAATTTTTACTTTAAAAACTATTTCTTTAAAATACTTGGTCACAGATCTGCTAGTGTCAAAAATGTTACATCACAGGAAGATAATTTTTCGTTAAATTGTAACGCAAAATTCACTATAAATTTCCCTGTGTATTTATTATTCTTCGAACGATTATAAATATAAATAATTATATATGATATAATTTCACCGCATTTTCTTAAAAATATAAATTATTTTTTAATATTATCAATGAGCAATTGAAAACATCATATTTTGTATTCATAAAATTTATACAACATATATTTCTTTATTAATACCTCTTCTTTTTGAATTTAAAAAAGTAAAAGTTTATAAACCCTTTAACATTTTTTAAAATTAATATTAATATTAATTATTAATAATTAAAATTTTATACAAAATGATGATATTATTTTTAATTACTGAAATTTTATACAAAAGATATTTTAATATTAATAAGAAATTCATATGCAAAAGATGACATTGAATTATCGTTTCGAAATTGGTGAAATGCATACTTTCTTTTTGTCAAACTGCAGTTGACAGCAGCCGGGAGAAAAATTTAAACAAGTGTATTTAATATTTTATTATAATACAATAGATGCTGATAAATAAAAAAATTGTGTCAAATATTTTAAAATGTCATATTGTTCTACAATTACTATAATTTCAAAAGAAAATTTTCTGCATGTAGCAGAAATCTTTTTTTCTATTTAGATATTTAGATTATAATTACACATCTTCTTTTGTCATTCTTTAAATATATTTTTCAATTTTATTTATAGATTAAAGTCAATAATTGATTGGAGAAAAATCTGACTTTTAAAAAAATCCATATAAATTATATCTTTCCATTTTTCATGAATAAAATCTTGAGATTTGTTTAGAAAATTTTTTATATTCTGAATGAAATATATTCTAAAATAATGAATAGTTCAGTAGAATATTCTCGTTGATTGCTATAAATGGTCATATTTTTAATAAAGTTATTTCGAAAAAGGAAAATGATAAATTAAATTAGAGAAGATTCGTAAAATGTTAAATTACATGACACTCATCTTGGAGGAAAAAAAGGAAGGGAGTGGTCAGGAAAGAAACGAGTGAGGTGATCATAACCACCTCTGGTGGAAACCATTTCCCACTGGTGGAAAACCAGTAAAGAGGGACACAGGGTGCTCACAGGAAAAATTGGAGGAGAGGGGGAAAAAGAGAAAAGGATTTAATCATGACAAGGATATGACATTTTTCTCAGATGTCGCTGTGTGCTGAACAGTAGAAATTTGTGATTTACCATAGAGGAGAGACTCGTTGAAGGAGACGTAACGCATTTTCAAAGTTTGAAAGACCTACCATATTCTTATCATGTCGGCATCTCCTACTCGGTCTGTTTCGATGACGCGTTCATCCAGAAACGGTAAGTAATAATGCACTTGAATTATATTCTGCGATGAAATATTTTGCTGTTACTGTCTTTCCCGGTTTTATGTAATTTCTTTTATATTTGTGGTCCATAAAAAGCACGTGGAAAAATAAGAATAAACTCGAAATACATTTTATAACACGTGCACAATTTCATCTGTATATCGCTGGTGCACTAGTGAAAATATCTTTAAATAACAATGATAAAATTAGTAAATTACAGTAAATTACAATTTGACAGTAAAGTATTGTAAAATATGTCAAATATATGTCAAATATATGTCAAGTATATGTCATACATAGTATACATAGTATGTGTCATACGTTTCAAAATAATAATTTAAGTATTTTTAAGACTATTTTCTTATAAATTTTCGTGTTTAAGAAGTGCATTTGTGTGATGTATGTGCAAAATTTATATATAATTTTATGAAAATTGAAAAATTGTTGAAAAATATTGACTTTATTTTTAATAGTGTGTTTATAGCTTTTTTTAGAAATTATAAATTAATTCTAAAACAATCTTTTACACCTTTTAAAAACAAATAACAATATCAAAAATAATATCAATTACAAATAAATAATTATTAAAAATTACTAAGTGACAAAAAAATAAGAATCGAGATACGTTTATTAGAACGCAAGAAAAACAAAGTTTTTTTATTAATATATTACAAAATATTCAATTTAGTTAAAATAATAAGTTAAGCACGAACGTTTACTTTCCTTTGTCATCCATCGAAACGTTATTGTTAGATTTCAAATTACCAACGGCTGCTCGTGTGCACAATGACATTTTACATTGTTATCGATTAATTTGTGTAGTTTCTGTGTATGTTTTTGACATACGAATCACTCGTATATATCGAATTAAAGAATCAGTGATATCTAATAACGATTAAATCGTTAATGAGCTTATCAAATTATCGTGAAAATTTTTTACGTTTGAGGAGCACGTGAGGAGCACGTTTTTTTCGCTCGTGCTCCGAGGGCGCCGAAGCCAGGCCTGATTTATATATTTGTAATTAATTTAAAAAAGATTGTGTTTTTCACGCTTTAATTATCTTTTACTTTAAATGGAAGGAATTGTTTATTTCATTTAAGCAAAATCATTTAATTTTAATTAAATATGCATGTTATATTAAGTACATTATTTTCATTTATATATTTTTTATATTTAAATACTATTTTCGTAAAATATATACTATAATTTATTAAATTAAATATATTATTTTTTAAAATTAAAAAGTTTAAAATTTTTGGGAATAAAAAATGCATTTTAATAAATATTTTGTAAAATTAAAATATTTAATTAAAAATTATATCTTTTTAAGCATATATATTTTTTAAACATATGTAAATAAATACTTAACTTAAGCAAACAGACGTTTTGAATACAAATAAATACGTGATTAGTATCCACCGAATAAATAGCTTTCTTGACTTAACTAAATTTTTTTTATTTCAAGATAATTTTTTCCTCAGTGTAGGAATTGATTTAAGAAAAGGAATTGTTTATGGAGTTTTTCAAAATTTGTTTTCGAACTGGTTTTTTCATTTCAGTCTATATGTTCCTTGATAAATGAAATGTATTTTGAAGTAAGAATGTTAATATTTTAATTTTCCGGTTGACTATACTCGTTTGTTGCTATTCAAATACAATTGATAAGAATAGATATTTTAAAAATATACATTTGTCTATTGATAAAATCTCTCTATAGAAACTATAAATAGAAGTATAGGTCTACGAAACGATCTAACGAAAACCAGAACAATGAATATCTATAGTCTAAAAAATAAAAGTGAAACGAGTATGATAACAAACGCTACGGGGAGTCTTCTTTGTCATGAAAACATCCATAAATAATTCGTCAGAATGATTTATCTATATATTTTATTTACCTGTCTATTTTATCTAATTCATTTTATATTATCTGTGTATTTTATATAATTCATTTATATTATCTGTGTATTTTACATAATTCATTTATATTACCTGTGTATTTGATATAATTCATTTTACATTATTCATTTAATATAATTCTGAATAATTACGAATTTCCACAAAATTGCGCACGTGATAAAATAAACTTAAATTCGAAGCGTTCCCAAATTTCCACTAGAGAAATGTCGCGCGTGATATTCGACGTTACACACGACCACGTGGGTCTCTTGATACATAAAATGCAGCGCGTTCGAGCGTTAAATATATTTCGAATGAGAAGGAGACGTGGAGAAGGTATGAGAAAGGGAGGTAGAACGAATCGAGACAAGAGACAAAGAATATTTTCGCGGCAATCTTCGTTTAAGCGACTATGAAGCTTTCCCGCCAACTCTCCGCGATGACTTTACCTATCTCTTACTATCGTTACGAGTGCGTGACGTAACGAACGCGTCGCATGTGTGCGTGCGCGTCCGCCGCGGTGCTCCGATCGCGGAAAGATAGAGAAGGAGGGGGGGGGGGGGTAAAAGCGAAGCCGCGTCTCTCTCTCCCGCCAGTCGCGCGCCGAGCGGAACACGATTCGGATCGTCCGCGTTCTCGCGAGTGAAGGAGAAAAAGAGAGAAAGAGAAACGCGGTGGCGGTGGCGATATTCGGACACTCTGGATCGTCCGTTCTGTTATCGGCGACAGGAGAGGCGGGGGAGACACTCGGATGTGGCAATCGTGTCCGGACGTTCGCGAACGGACGGTGCGGTCGGCGTCGAGCTCGCCTCGTCAAATGCAGCCGCGCCGAGGATACGGCCTGGCGATCGCGTCGCCAATGCCGATGTCGTCCTCGCGTCGTCCTCTCGATCGTCGCCATCGTCATCGCCTCGCGATCCAGATCGGATGCTCGTGTTTTAATCGAACCGGTTTTCGAGCGACGCGCTTCCACAAGTTCGCGTCGAAGCGGGAGCACGGCTGTTGCGGCTTCTAACGTTCGCGCGAAGATTCGGGCGGGATCATCCTCGCGTCATCCGGGGCACCCGGGACGTAATCGAGAAAAGGACTCGAGAAAGAGAGAGAGAGAAATTGTACGCGGGTGATCACTGAGACGCAGCTGTTATTTTTGACATTTGGAACAGCTGACGAGTCGAAGCGTCTTGTCGATCAAACGTTCGAAACGATAGGTGTCATTGCTGATCTTCGAGAAAGTTTTTATATCGATCGGAAACTTGGGATTTATGATATCGTATCTACGACGCGTAAGAAAATATCGTTTTAGATATCGGAGCACGTTAACTCGGAGATATCGATGAAAACGGTCCGCTCTGGAGCGGAAAGAGAAGAAATAGCTCGACAATAACTATATTGACAAGTGTATATATATATAATTTACGATCAAGAGTTTAGACAAAAGAGTGCTGTCGTGTGTCTTAAAAAAGGATAGAAATCCGTGAAGTGTGTATATGTGTACAGAGATCAGAGACTCCTAATTAAGAACCTACTCATGTGAATTTTCGACATTGAAGCGTCAAAGAGAATGCTACCTCCAGCCGCCATGCATTTAGAGCAAAGAATGGGCAATGACAGACCAGGTACGAAGAAAATATATTATTCTTCAACGAAAGACCTTAATTTTTCGAGCGGTTATTTGTCATTTTAAAGACGAGCTTAAGCAAATTCGTTCCCGATTACTTCGCCGATAACAGGTTCATCGTGCGTTAGTGACAGTAATGGCGGATTTCGAATTGTATCGTTTCATCTGCCGAAAATGTCGGACAATGACGCGTGGGATCGTGCGCGAAGATTTCCTTTTTTTTATGAATGACCGACACACGCGGATTATATCATGTGATTGTAGATCGATTGTTGATAGATCAGTGCGCGAGTCACGGTCGCGTCATAAACGCGGCGCGTTCAATGAAACAAGCATAATTTTTTGCTGTCGATCGGCGAAAGTACGGAGAGACTCAAATATATGTCGGACGTGACAGTCGGTTTCACGATTTTTTTTCGCCTAGACACCCGCCGATACGATACACGTCGAAAATTCTATCGTGTCATTGAATGTAACTCGTTCATGTTAGCGTCATGTCGATTAAAAGATTATCGAAGTTTTCTCTTTAAGAGATTTTCTAGATTTATAATAAATAAGAATCGCAGGAGAAAAGTAAAAAAAAATTTACGGAACTTATACATATATAGAGCTTTTATATTTTTATGTTTTAATCCGCTTATTTTTTTCCTTCATATATCTTATATTTATTTTTTACATATTTGTTATTATTATTATACATGGACGGAATTGTGACATCTGTCAATATGCATTATTATGCTAATTCTACTAACACAGTTTGAAACTTTCAATATAAATAATTTTAATTGAAAGTCTTAATTGTATTTAATATTTTTTGTTATTAATTGTGTGTTTTAATTTGTGGCATTTATTTATATTGATTATTAATATTGATTAATGAAAAAATAATATATTTGTACGAGATAGAAAGAGATAGAGAGAGAAAGAGAACGATATGTCATATGTAATTGTCACGTCAATTGTTATTCCTTTGAAATTTGAATTTTATTACTGTTATTCCTTTGAAATTTCAATTTTATTTAATTTCAAATTTCAATTCTGAAAATTTAATTTTATTATTGTTATTCCTTTAAAATTTCAATTTTATTTAATTTCAAATTTCAATTCTGAAAATTTAATTTTATTATTGTTATTCCTTTGAAATATCAATTTTATTTAATTTCAAATTTCAATTTTGAAAATTCAATTTTATTATTGCTATTCCTTTGAAATTACAATTTTATTTAATTTCAAATTTCAATTTTATTTAATTTCAAATTTTAATTCTGAAAATTCAATTTTATTATTGTTATTTCTTTGAAATATCAATTTTATTTAATTTCAAATTTCAATTTTGAAAATTCAATTTTATTATTGCTATTCCTTTGAAATTTCAATTTTATTTAATTTATTTTTATTTTAATCGAGTTTCCCCAAAGATCTGTCAATTTCGTAAGACCCGTTACGATGTTATTACACAAGATCCATGACGTCAAGATCCTATGATACTTTATTGTCACATGACATCGGAAAATACTAAGTGTCGTAAAATATTGGCAAATTTATTTGATATTCGTTTCGTCGATTGCTATTAGAATCACGCGCTTTTTGACGAATTATACCAACGTGACAGTCGTGACAAGAGCGTAGGCGTCTCAAGTATGTCGGAAGCACGTGGTGTCGCTCGACGGCGTGTGATTCCAAAGCACGCTGGCGCGTGCGTGACGTCAGGAAGCCTCCGTGTGGACGCTCGTGTAAACCCCGTAATGTTCGTAAGAGTGCACGACCACGTGCTCTCACGTCAATCGTGCGCGAGCTATAAATTTTTTTCCGACAGGGCTGATGCTTGGTTAGCCAAGGGTGTCGATCGATGGAAAACTATCATCATTCCGTATCGCAAACTTTGACACAATCTTGATTGATAAATTTATCGTTTGATATATGGACAAAACTTGAGCATGTTATTAGATTTGGATTATGGCGTCCGACCCTGAACAAAAGTATTCTACTTGCGTTCATATACGTAAAAATATTTTTTTTTTTTTCCTCGTTCTTTTATGTTTTATTCATAAAAAATCTAATTTTTTAATTAAAAGTTTTTTAATTAAAATTAAAATTAAAAGAAGATGAAACTATATTTTTCTAACTTTATGTAAAATCTGCCTTCTGTTTTTCAAGATTTAGTATGTAAATTTATATTTTTCTTCAACAATTTTTAAATTAAAATTTAGTATGTTTAATATAGAAAATTATGAAACATTATTAAAAAAGAGAGCAAAATATTTACACATAAAATAATACGTGAAATTACAAGTGAAATAGTTTTGCCTTGCTAAATTTTCATGTCCCGCCATATAAAGTAAATTAATGTTAACTCATATTGATTCCACTAAATGTAAATTATTGTTTTCTAAACATCTAATGATAAAAAGAAATCAGTTATTTTTTTATAAAAATATAATAATTGAGATTTATATTTCCATAAATAACGTGAACTTATCAGAAATATATACATATTTAAAATTTATATTTAAAAAATTTTTTAGCATGTAGCAATTTTTTAAACATGGTATTAACAGCTATCTATATGCATAGTCTTTTTTTTAAATTTTACAATTTAAATTTATTAAAAAAATTTGTTAACAATTTAAATTTATTAAAAAAATTTACTAAAATTTATTAAAAGAATTTTTGCGCGTGCAAACAAAAACTTTAATGCGGAGAATGTAAAAAATAACAATATTCGATATCGAAAACTTTTACTAATTTTTTTTGAACGTTAAACTTCGTTATGAATATTCTATTGCACACGGCTGGGAGAAACGTAAAAAATTAATTAATTATCTGTTCATGTATGAATTCTAATATCTTTCTTTATTTTTAGATATATTTCTTATCGTTATTTCTGCTTGTATAACTGTAAAAAAAGACAAAATGTATATGTCTAGATAGCTGCTAATTTTATGTCAAAAGAAGTGTCATATGTTGGAACGGGATTATTTTTTAAATATAAGTTTTACATATTTCTGTAACCATGTTATTGATTTATGGAAAAATAAATCTTAATTATTTATATAATAATCAAAATTCAATGTTGTTCTTTGATATTTTTTTACACGACTTGCGTACAAGTCATAAATCTATAAAAAATGTTTGGATTAAAATAAAGAAGTATTATGGAATATTTTTTCTAAATTATTAATTCAGAAAATATATGTATGACTCATGTATTTTAATAATATCTTATATAATAGCATTTTATTAATAATGTCTTTTATTCGTTTTAGTGTGTATATTTAGTAGATGTCTTTAAAATATTGCCATGCAATTATGAATTGCCTTGTTATATCAAAGTCTTTTGGTAAAAAATAAGCCTTTCCGCAACAAAATTTAATCTTTTTATATGAAACATTAATCTTATAAAATCTTATAAAATAAAATGTTTAAACTTTTCTTAAGAAGGCAGAATTTATAAAAAGCCTATGATACATATATTTTCTGTCATTTTTTTTATTTATCATGACTATCTCATTAAAATATGTCGCCGATGCGAATTCTCCTTCACTTTCAATTCGATGGTTCAGTGCGTATCGTTTACGTGATATTATTTTTAAACCGGTTAGCTCTATGAGGCTGTTTATCCTTCATTATATTTCAATGTAAAATTATCTGTCTCACGTCTTCAATCCATTGAACCTCAATATTTATCCGAATTAATTTTCTAACTTTGATTTCTATTTTATCCTTTGCTTTGATTTTTTTCTTTTTAATTAGGCTATTGTTAAATTATATTTCGTATATGAGCAAAATTCTAGCACATCATCAGTAAACTATAAATGATTATCAAAATAGAATTATGATTATTAATCATCTCGAAATTAGTAACATCAATCTGTATGTCAGATCAAATTTTTTAAATCTATGTATTTTAGAGTTATAGAATAAGGTATTGTATTGTTGCTTTAAATTTCAATGTTTATTATTTTTTTGCTTCGTTTGCGTCTATATATATTTCCTATATTTTATTTAAGAAATGCGTAACGAAATTAAAAATTTTGATGATAAAGAAAGATATATATTTAATGAAATGTCCATATCGCCACTGACCTAGATCTCAGAGAGCATTAGCAACTGACGAAAGGTTAATATGTTTAAGTATTCGCTGTTGCATAAATAGCATTTTCCGTGACGATGATGGACGTATCGAAACTAATCGCAATATATGTGATGACGTCTAGATAACACAGTACTCTTCATTAATAGAATTTTTCGTTAACAAAGAGAAAATCATCCTTCCCATTTTTCGAATAAATAAACGTCGAGTCTTACTAGATAGATCGGCTTTATTTTTAAAATGTCGATTTTCGATTCAAGGTAAGATTTTATATCTGTTCGTTTAGCTTAACTAATTAAACTAACGGAAAAGCGATTCCAGTTGCAAGTTACAATCAGTCGCACTTATTATCGACAGTTAAAGTATTTTAAAAAATATGATTTTTATTCTTTTCACTTTGATACTGTCATAAAAATAATTCTGATAAAAAAAATTCTTGCGCAAATTAAAATAAATACTTTAATCTTCATATGTCACGTAAATTCTTTATAAATTCAAACTTTAAGGAAAAAATATGTAATATACGTACAAAAAAAAGATTGTAAAACAAATTTAATAATAAATTGCGCTTGTATATCTGAAAAATAAAGTGCTCTTTGGTTATATCTTATAAAAAATATAAATATTTATGAAAAAAATTTCTATATGGGAATATTGCACAATATAAAATAATATATATCTTTTTGAAAATATAATTTCTGAAATAGACAAAAGGATATTATATAGCATATTATATAAAGTAAGAAATTCTTTTAAACATGAAATCAAAATTGGAATATTTTCTCTACAGGTATATAATGTTAATTTTATGAAAAATTGCAGTAAGGAAGGAAAAATAATAAAATAATTTTTTATTCGTTAAAAGTAGGGAGAAAATTGTTTATGATTACATCGACAACTTTTAG